GTGCAATCTATGCCGTCATACAACCCGATCTTTTTGAGTCCGGTTTAGCCTCCTTCGAGAAGCTTGCCAATCATGCCGAGGCATTGGACGATCCTATCAATATTGCTCTTCGCATTTGGGCCACTCCCTTCACCGGTCTTTCAGTCATCCTGAACCGAGAGATGATCGATCACCGAGATCTAAAGGGGTATAGGGAGTCTTTTGACTTGTTGCTCACCATCGGAAACTACACAGGAGGCCGGTGTCACTTAGCCGGGCTCGGGTTTAGCCTTGTTTATGACCCTGGGACGGTTGTTGCCTTGGCCGGCAATGTTTTACAACATGGTGTTTGTCCTGTGCTGGGTGACCGGGCCTGTTTTATATATATATATATATATAATTAGAAATCCGACCCAAACTTGCTCGGCCTCAGCACCAATATGTTCAAGGAGACGGGGGGCTTGACGAACCCGATCCCGGGCTTTCTCCACCTGGGTTTCTATGTGCTGAAAACCGGTTCTTGTGATACCTCATTAGGTCAATAAGAGCAGACTGCTGTACAATTTCCTCCCAAACCGAAATCTCATTGGTGACCCACTCTTCCTCGGCCTCAGCACGCTTGATACGTTCAAGGAGACGATCCCGAGCATTCTCCAACTGGGTCTTGATGTGCTGAACTTCGGCCGGTGTCAGCGTGGAGGTGTCAGTGTCCAGGTACTTGATTGGCAAACCACCCTTTGCCATCCATCTGAACCAATTGTATGACCTTTTCAGAAGTTGGTCGACGCCCCCTGGTGGAAAGGTGATGCGAGTATTCCACCACGCAAACTCGTATGCAGGCCAGATACGGTCATCCATGAAGGCTTCCTGAGGGTGCAGTGGGTTACCCTGGAGACAGGACTTCAAAAAGGGAGGGACGATAAACTGGCAGGAAGGTGAGCTCAAAGAGAAAAAATCTGGGGCAAAGTTTTACTTTATGCCCATAGGCGCATGCCATGCCGAGAGTCGCTATAATGAAACCCTAACCAAAGGAATGAGTTTAGCCGGGCACGGCAAAATAAAGCTCACCTGTTTGGCCGACATGTACTCCAACCAACAATTCTCGAACTTGGGGTCAATGGGGTTTTCGAGCTTCGATGTCAAAATGGCTCTGAATCGAGAGGACCAGTAGCAGAGTACCTCCTGGAACTCTTGCTCGTCCTTCCAGAGGAGATTAGCCACTACAGAAGAATCTCTGGTAAAAGCTGGAGGCCGTATCTTCAGCACCTCGTCAACCCATTGCTCTGCTCGGCGGGGGTCAAATGACAGGTGTTCTTTTGCATACATGGTGGACAATGAGAAAGAATAGTTTGATTCAACTAGGTTTAGGTAATGCAATGGCCTCGCACATGACCCCGGCATTTATAAATTCTTTGGTGGCCTGGAAGGCCAGTTCTTTCCACATACTGATTTGCCCCTCGGCAAAGCATACATGTCCCAGCTTGTCTGGCACCAAGTCCCTCAGCCCAGCCCACTCCCTTGCTTTGTTGATGAAATAGAGGCGGGTCCAGTTCATTTCGTTTGGGATCAAGGTATGCTCTTCTGACCACCGGTCATATCGAGCTTTTGCTCTGAGCCAATTCACCCGATATACTTTGATTTGTCTGGTTTCAATTCATGTAGAGTAATAAAAGTGACTGGATCTGACCTTGTTCCATGTATGTTGAACCTGACGAATCATCAGCCACAGCCATATTCCAGAACCATGGCAGAGCAATATTTCTTTGACCCCGGGCGTTGCCATCGTATACCGTAGTTAGTGCCCTTGTATCTTTTTTCCCTATCAGCTTGTATCGGTCACGAGTGCCCTGAGGAGCATTGAGCTGATTAAGAGCCCATCGAGCTTGGTTGTATGCCCGGAGAGCACTTTTCATATCGCGATCCGATCCTTGTACAGCATCGTAAGCCCGAGTTACACGTTTTTTTGATTTCTCGGCTCGAATTCTCTTCCGATAAAGGAATGACTTGTAACCGATGGCTTCCCGTAAACGCTTCAGAGCGTTATTTGCCTGGGCCACTCTCAATTCTATCTCTACGCACCGGGCTTCTCCCAGTGATGTAGGGAGGAGGGCTGCTTGAAATGAGGATGGTAAGAGGATTTGTTGATGTTCGGCCGATCCATATCCCTGATCAGGCAAACTGGGTATGCTCAGTGCTGGGGTTTCCTCTTCATCACAATCGCTCCAGTCATCGTCATCCACAATATCCTCCGAGAGCGGTGGATCATGAATAGTTCCTTCATTAATTTCCAAGTTGGGAAAATGGCCTTGACCGGCCTCGGAAAACTCTTCAAGTCGCTTGGACAGCTCTTCTCTCAACGTTTTATTATCTCCAGCTTCTGATCAGCACTTGGACGACTGCCTTGAGCCTTCACAAAGGCGGCCAATTCGGCTCTGGATTGTTCAATGTTTGAATCTAGCAATATTTGACTTTACTCACTGGGCTTCCTGAATTTTGATACCGGTGTTTACCCATCCAGTTAACCCCGGCTTGACCTTGCCTGCCTGTTCTTTAGTCATAAGTTTTAGCCGAATGCCCTTTTCGGTCTCGGCTGATTGAATGATTTTACAGCTGGCCTTTGTGATGGAAAACTTGGTCCTTACCTTCCTTGACCTTGACGTAATAGATGTCCATGGCGGAAAGGTCCTTTGCCCGATTCAAATTTGCCGTTTTGATCTGTTGCTCCCATTCTTGAATCTGTTCCTTACTTGCTGAGGCACTTAATTCTTCAAGAGCCTGGAAGCTCTCAGAGAGCCCGAGTTTTGCTCGCTTCCACTTCTTGCAAAGGCTACTCACTTGACGTTTATTAGCTTAGAAGCAATGTAAAAGCAGTTGAAAATAGATACCCATATTGATCATTTTTTTCCAGTTATTATCCAGCATGTGAGCATCCAACACCTCCGATCTATGGGCCAAAGTCATTGTCCGGGTGGTGCGACCGACCTCGTTGAGAACAGCCCACAAAGTCTCCAATATCTCTCCATCTGTTTGACCAGCCCTGGGGATGAATGTTGGGGCAAATCGTGGAAAGCATATTTCTTGATGGCCATGGACATGGAATAAGCCGATCCCGGCTACCAATAACAAGTCTGGTCTGATCCAGAGGTGTTTCGCACCACGTTTTATCCGAGCCATCAAATTCACCATATACTGGCAGTTGATGTCATAGACAAATATAACCCTTTTTTCTTCACCGGTCATGGTATTCTTCAGAGCCTGGCACAAGGCATAGTCCATGTTCATTTGCCTGTTCGGTAAAACAACGATTCAACCTCAGGATAACTTCCATACCTTTCTCCCTTTTGAAAATCTACCACCGAACCCGGACAAAAGGTGCCATGTCGAAGGCAAGCAATGGCTCCAATTCCAGTAGCGTCAAAACCTCGGTGAAATACATTCTTGTTGTTGATAGCATTGTGCTCATGACATGTCCTCGGCTGAAAGATTCAGACACCGGCCGAGTCGCTCGAAGGATAAAAACTTACATCATTATCTTCAATCGCCTCCCGAAGGTGGCTCAAATAAGGTCCTCTTTGCGTCATGAAACTATCCCCATTTTTAAGCCAAACATCGTCTTTGGGCCGTGCCTGTTTTTGGTGGGCTGCTGTGAAATTGCCATCGGCTACAAATCCTCTGGTATACTTCCAGTTAGTAGGATCATTGGGGTTTTTGTTCCAGTCATCAGGAAGGTTGACTCCTGGTTGTGGGCAGGTAGGGCAAAAAAAACCCATCTCCCCCGGCGTCGGAGCCTTACCTTTGTGTCCAAATCCAAAAGTAGCCAGTTCGGTAAGATTACGGTATTGTCTACCAACCCTTATTAACTCGTGATACCGGTTCTGTCAAACGTTTTGAGATGGGAGTATACCTCAGTACTTGAACAACATACCGGAATGGAATTAGGAAATGCAAAGTTGGTGATCCTTCTCAATTTGGAGTAGTAGTGGGTGGCCGATGTTTTACATTCCAGGTTTTCCAGCAGGTAGTCATTGAGGAGTTGGAAGGTAAATACGGTCTGGCAAGACTTGTAGGTGGATGGGTACAACCCAACCCGGAACAACTGTATGTCCTCAGCTGCTGCACCAGAACATCCACAGAAGACGATAGGCAGGTGATGCACACCGGAAGTATGGACGATGGTCATCACCCGGCCACCATTGTAAATATGGTCCGTTGGTTTTGGATCGGCCGAAGTGCTGGTAAGGTCTTCCATGTCAAACCATTCCTCTTCGTCAATGTCAAGGTCGGCACTCAAGTTGCTGCTTCCATTCGGGCACCGATCACCTTCGTGACCAAGTCGAATAACCAAACCCACTTTCCACAGCCAGCTCGGCTCATAAAAGGTGCTGGTCCAACGTTCAATCTGGTGGAAAGGGTCCCTGCAGTGGGATGTTCGGAAACATTCTGCACAATATGCCGTGCCGGCAAAGCAATCGAGACATCGCCAATTTGCCTCCTTCTTGCAAGAGATACAAACCCGCTTTGACGCTTTCCTATCCAAAAATTCGTGGAGGTATAGATTACGCTTAGTCTCTTTCCAAACCCTCATGTAATCATTGGATGACTGATAGTGTATTAGCGTTCAGTATATGAATATATTGGAAGAGGAATTTCACATTTCTGTAAGGTTGATGATCCTCGAGAGGAGGAGCATATTCAACGTATGGCAAATCTTGGTGTTCCCTTTCAATGTCTCTTTCCAGATGGCTGCAGTTACGTTTTTTCACGGGGGAAAATGGCAGAGAGGGAATAGTGGAGGAGGGAAAAGACCTCCTTCCATTTTTGATAACAAGCCTGTTGAAGTGAGGATTAGCGATGTTGCTGTGTGCTTTTCTTCCCATGTTTGTCTACTGTTGAAATGGCCAAAGGATATAATGATGATGTGTAGTGGGAACGAGGAAAATGTGGGCGTAGCGGGAAAGAGGAAAATGTGGCCGTCGAATAGCAAACGCAAACATTCATAACAGATTTGCATTTCCAGCTACGTAAAATAAAAAGT